GAAACTTGACTTGATGGAGGGTTAAATGAAAGAATCTTGGGATGAAATTTGGTGGGTAATCACTTTTTAATGCCCTAAAACTGATGGAAGTGATGAATCTTTGATCAGAAATGTGGATTGAAATATTTGGTTTGGAATAATGTTTTGACTAATGAAAAATCCAAAGTAGAATCTTGTTTATTCTAGAAGGAAATGGAGGAATTTAAGGCTAAATATGATGGGTGATTTATTTTAAGAATTTTGGACTTGGGATATGACTTTTTGTGTGGTTTAATTGTAAATGTCAAATCAAAATCTTTATTGGCTGAATGGTTATGCAAAGAAATGTTGAGTTGAAATTTGATGTGTGGGCACGAATTAAGGTTAGGAGTCGAGTGGATGGTTTCGATCTAAGAAATAAATAGTTGATCTTGGTTTTCTAGCTCTAATTGTTTAGGGTCGTCGAAATGGAATCTTAGTATTTTCAAGGTGGAATTTGGGGGGTGAGCCTATCTTAATGTTGCTGGTGTAATGAACGTGTCAGATTTGGATTTGCGAAGTCACGGTTTGGACATCGTGTAGATCGGGAGCGCTAGAAAGGAGGTTGGCATGATGAAGTGTAACTAAAACTTAGTTTCCTAAGTCTAAGGATTATATTTAATCTAATGTTTGATCTCGTTTGTCATGTGGATTGCATCAAAAACAGGAATTTTGGGTTTTGGCAAGGTCTAATTTTGTTTTCAAGTGTTGGGGGCTAAAAAGAGGTAGGTGAAGGGACCTAACAAAAATTGGGTGCTGGCAGTAGGTGTTTTGGGGTTTGACATGGTTGAGGGGGTAAACAAGCTTTAAATTAAACCCTTAAACCAGTTTGAAAAAAAAAAAAAACTAAAAAGTCCACAACTTGATACACCCCAACCGACATATCGGCATATATCGATATTTAGAACCTTGATAAAAATGATAGTGAATAATAAACCGTTTAACCAAATTTTTTTTGTATACTGTCTATGAAATTCACCCTTTTAAACATAAGATACAACAAAAATTTTATATATACTATAATATATTATAATAATTGATTTGGAACAACAATAACCAATCCCAACCCAATTATTAATCGAGACACAAACCACATAATCAGTTCAGTTGGTTCGGTTCTATTGGGTGGACGCAACCTATTTACAGCTTTAGGTTCAAAACCTTGTAAAACAAAAACAGAAAAAAAAAGAAAAAAGCTCTAGCAAACAGCCCCTCTAGACAAGAATTGTTTTTAAGTAATAAATACTAAATACCCAATAGATCTAAATAGAAAATGGAACAAGTTAAATAAATCATAGTGCTCCAACTATCAGGAATATTATTAAGTAGTATACGTATGGTTATATTCTTTGAAAAGAAAAAGGTGTTTCTTACAATTTGCTTAGACTCAATATTTTATTTATTAAAGGATAAAACAATAAAATTTTCAGTTCAGCCATTTCAGCTATTAGCAAACAACCCCTCTAGACTTCTGGACCCAGACATTCATAGCCAGAAGCAAAGGTGCTTTTGGGTTGCCGGCTGGTTCTTTGAAATGTTGATTTAATCAAGTTTATTAAAAATACATGCATATTTTAATTAATAATTAATTGGTATTATATCATGTAATATCTACAGTTTTATGATTATTTTTATGTGAAATCGAAATAGGTTTAAAAATTAATATATGGAAACCATTTTCTATATTCTTCTATCCATTTTTAGATTTTTATTTAAGTCAAACAATCAATCTCATAACGTTGGCCTTTGTGAATTGCCTAGAAAGAAGAATTTAGCAATAACATTTATAAGAACTAATATATATCTTGTGGTGGTGGATAAAACTTAATTGGGTGCAACAAAAAAGGCACCAACCGTTTGATAAATTTTCTCTGTGGTTCAACCACCAACCCTTTCTTAATTGAGTGCTCAAGCATAAATACCCATGTACGTAGCTAGGCATCTTGCAGCTAGCTAGCATCCGTTCTTGTCATGTCAAGTAGCAGAGTTCGGCCATGGCAAGACTCCACTCCAGACTATTTCAGGATGATCGATTCGCCGTTGCAAGCAGTTGGTTATAACCAGATCGATTATGGCTTCAGGGGTCGCCATGAGTACTATCATGTAAGACAAGCATTTCTCAGAAGTTACCAGTTCTCTACACAAACAAGTTTCAAAGAGAAACTGAAGAGATCAGTGAAGGAGCTCAATGAGAGAGCCATGGATGTCATCGTGGAAATTTGGCAGGAGATGTCCCCCAGAAAATTGAGAATCAGAATGCTTCGCTGCAGATTGTCCCATTTCCCATCTTTTGTTTTCCGGTGTTTTTCTGTTCAAGGAGACAGAAGGAGATGTTTCAGTGTGATTCGTCTTAATGGATGAGTGGTTGTGCTGTTTTTTCCTTACCTGTATTTTTAATTCAGTGTTCTCAGTTTTTTACTACTGTTTGTTTTTTATTGTTTTGGAAACAAGGGGAGTAGTTTGTTTCTGAAAACACCCCAATTACTGAAGCTGAAAACAAAAAACTTTCAAAAGCTGAAACACTTTTCTCTTGTTGCAAAGCATCCAAGAACGTAATCATAAACTTCTCTAACTTCAGCTTTTAGACCCAAAAACGAGATCGGACTGGACGGTCGGACCGGTTGACCCGGGAATGGTTGTGGCTCCAGGTCCGGTTTTGGACTCCAAACCGTCCAACCAGGGTTTGGACTGGATGGTTGGACAGTTTAACCCTGGAACCGGTGGTAAAATCGATTTTATTTTAGACCCAATTTTCAAAACCATATTTCTAATCCGGTCGGCCACTTGATTTCCTTCTCTGTATATATCCAAATAATGAAATTCCATATCTTCCTCCCTGCTGATGATATGTAGGATGCAAGTTGAGCCAGGTTAGGCCACGTTGAGATTAACCCTAATCCAACCCTAAAATTTCAAGTTGGATTGGAATTGGTTTGGATTGGGCTCGGTTAGTCTTGGGTTGGCCTGACTTCTTTACTTCCTTCTGCTGAGTGTACTTATTTCCTAAACTTCATTGGTACATGTTAAATCAGTATTAGCGTTGTAGAAAAAAAAATGTTTTTAAACTTAATATTTTTGGCATGCAATATACATGCAGTGGAAAATACATAAATATATAGATATATATTTGTGGATACAGAGTAGCATATATATACACGCATGGATAGTGATTACACATAATTAACCGAGGGCTGGCTAGTTGGTGTGTTAGATGGTTTGTTCCAACGTTGATATGGAATCAAATCCCGCAACCAGCACTTTGGGGAAAAAGGGGTAAGGGGAAATTATTAGTGGTGCATAGCACTGAATACCAAAAAAAAAAAAGGAATAGTGATTACACATATAGATAAGTTTTTACATGCATAAATACACATTATATAATATTAAGTTTGGGTTCAGATTGATCAAGGCTTTTTTAGGCTGGGTTCAGGATAATCTAACCCAAGTTGCAGTCTTAACGATATGACAATAGCCTTGAATTAGCCAGGATGTCCTGTTCACTTTTCGGTAAGTTACTTATCCGGGTAAATGCAATTACCTAGGTAAGTTTTTCCTGGCCAAGAACCACTTACCCGGGTAACTGCAGTTACCTATGTTCTTTTCTTTTCCAGGTAAATAAGGCAATGACCATTTTAGCCATAACAATTCATTATTAAAAGGGGCATTTTTGTCCCATTCAAGTTTGGCAATTTTCTCCCATGGTGGGAAAGTTATTTACCCACTTAGGAGATGGGTATCCAGGAAAATAAACTTTCCCTAATCCCTACATATATCTAAAATAAGAACTTGAGATTCATGGGGAAGGGCTAGCATGCAATGCCCCATCCTATTATCCAGCTAGTTTAGGTTCAGTCCAAAAGGATCTTAGTTAGATTTGTTTTTTTTTTTTTTTTTTTTTTTTGATTCCTGGGGAAAGGCTACTCCTGTCTTATGTAGCCCTTAAGTTTTTCCTATAAAAAAAAAGAACATGAGATTCTTGGTCAATAAGAATCAAAATCCCATTAACCAACTTTCCTCAGCCCCCTCTCAAAATCCAAAAGAAGAAGGCCCCCTTAGTGAGCCAGGGTCAGTCTAGGATAGGTCCACTCTTGAGAAACTCAAGGACTAAACCTAGGCCCAGTCTAAAAATGAAAAGGCCCAAGATTTTGGATCTGGGTTCAGCCCAAGGATCAAGTATCCAACCCAGTTCATGTAAAATTTCAGATTGGGCAGTTCAGGCTTGGGTTGGGCCCATCCTAATTGCACCCTCTACTAGCAAGCCCTTGGAAAACATTCTAGAATAACCTAATATCCTATTAGCAGCTTCTACTGGTTAAGGTAACATTCAGAGCGCATTAGCAGCATGCAATGACTAACTAAATAGTGTGAAATACATTGAATTGATAAACAAATTCCCTATAGGGAAAATCTATGATGCCGGAAAGATATTATATCGGAAAAAACGGTTTTGACTAATCACAACCCCCATGAATTTTGATGAAAATCCATTTAAGTGATTCCTACTTATATGATGCCGATTGATTAATTACAAGTTTTTCTGTATCATATCTTTCCGGCATCATAGTCAAACCCATTTCTTAATCATGTTAGTTTAAGTCTTGAGGACCTGATTCTTTGAGGTGCCTTCTTTGCTCCAACATTGAGGAGATCAAATCAGCCCCCCACAAGATTGCCCCCCATAACGTCTCACAGCATATCCCGGCCATTATTTGGAAACATCTCCCGGTGATAATACCAGAAATGATAATATCATTATTGGGAGATGTTCCCAATACACGACGGGATATGCTGTGAGAAGTTATGGGAGGCAATCTTGTGGGGGGACTGATTTAAACTCAAGATTGAGGTCTAATTACATTTACTGAGTTCAAAGGTTGCATGAATCATTCACAACTCTGATGTATTCGATGGAGCAGTTAAATAAGGATAAAAAACAGAGACAAATGAGGAGATGGTTCTTATTAAAATAAAAACGTCTAACAGGTAAAACTGATAAATAATTAAAACATGAATACATACAATGATACAAAGCTCCAACACTCAGAGATCACTCACAAACGAACCCCAAAATAATGAAAAAAAAGAAGGAATAGTAAATTCGGTGCAATCATCAAATAAACATAGGGAGGATCAAAGCCAATATACTGAAAACCCCATAGGTATTTCTTCCACCTGAACTTTTGTTTTTTGTACTACTCGAATCTGTTGTTGTATTTGTAGTGCTCTTACCTGTTTGTAAACAACCCAGAAAAAAAAAACCAAAGAAATTAGTAGATAGAAATTAAATAGTTGTTCATATTAGTACATAATATAAGCAATTAAGACAAACATTTACATCAATTCTATCTATCTAAATAGAGTTTGAATATAAGTATATTTACTAGTCATAGGTTGAAGTCTTATGAGTTATTTTCAGTTCAAAGTAATGTTTATTTATTAGTTATAAATGATCATTTTTTACTTTAATTTATCAATGGTATTCAATATCTGAACCAAACCTGAGTCCCATTTGAATCTGAAAGCTAATAGGGTTGATCATTTTTACCTAATTCTGCATTATTCGGCCTGATATAGGCCTTAAATTTTTAGGCATAAACAGCCCGTCTTGTAACAGAAATTATATATATATATATATGTATGTATGCATTTCCAAACAAATAATTTTATTTATTTATAGGATAAAATATAAAAACCTCTCTTGAAGTTTCTAACAATCATAATAATTTCCTCTGAGGTTTCATTTTAACAAAAACCTCTCCTGTAGTTTTATAAAAACCTACAATCACCTCTCTTCCACCTTTGTCCCAGTTATGGAAACCTCAAAGTTACGAAATTACCCTTGCATCTTATTAGGGCATCTTTCAATATAATTTAAAATGTCAGATTTTCCGTTCTAGACCGCACTAAACCTAACATTTTTATAGAGTAAAATTACTTCATTCTTCTCAATGTAGCTTCAGGGATTTTTTTTTAATTAAAAGTGAATAATTCTTTGAGGTATTTTAATAAATTTTCATATGAAATGATAGATATAAGAGTAAAATGGGTATTTTTGAAAAACTGATGCAATAATAAAAGGGAGGTAACTGCAGGTTTTTTTAATACTACATGGGAGGTGCAAGGTGCCAACTGGTTGGTTGCTAAGGCCTCCTGCTGGTTGTAGTGGGACTACCCCCGTTGTATAGTCCAACGGCGGTAAAAAAAAAAAAAAACTACATGGGAGGTTTTTATGAAAATAAATCTCATGTTAGTTTTTTATGATTGTCAGAAACATTAGGGGAGGTTTTTATATTTTATCCTAATTTATATGAACGGACCTGGGTGTGTAGCCCGGCTCTAGGTCCAGACGAGTTGGTATCTACTGCGACGGGCATGGCCAATGAAATATGAACACACCAGCATTTGACTCAAATTAAAAATCAGTTTATGTGATGTTTTCAAACGCTGGTGTTTTCGGATTGAGCAACAGGTTCACAGCAAATGTGAATTAGGCCCAGACGTATATTATCAAGCCCAAGGTGCAGACCCGTCCCGAGAAATTTGGACTCAGTCCTCATCACTTGCAGTTGTGCATTGAAAATATCTCTCCATGAAAAAAACATACAAGTAAGGAGATATAATCTCAATACACAGTTGCAAGTGGCTGTGAATATGGTGTGAACACGGTCTTGTGAGGATTGAATCTGGTCTCTATCCCACGGAGCCTAAAATGCTGTTATTTCCCTGTAATAAGTCTGCCCATGCTCGGCCCATGATCATCTTTAACAGAGAAGATTCAATTCGATCCATTTACAGCCCTAACAACTCTCCATACAGGCTGCACTTACCTGCGACAAAATTCAATGTTGCAGAGGTCTGTGATCGGTGCTCCGACATGAAATAATCCGGCGAAGCCGGAAAGCTGTTCTGTGGCCCAATAGCATATATCAGATTAGGGTTAGGCTGAGTGGTTTTGAGTTGGAAGGCAAGGTACAAACGTGATGACCGAGAAACAATGGTCATGTTTGCAACTTCTAGTTCCCCTTTGTCTGGGGTGCAGGTCTGTGGCTTCATTCCTCCTAGAAAGTACTGCTTTATTACTCCATTGCTTCCTGTAGGAACCCAACCTACAATTGAACTAGACCCAACCATTCTCCCATTAGGGGAGAATCCAATGGCTACATATGAACTCTTGTCTGGCACTGAGAGAAGGAAATTCCACAAGCTTGGTCCATTCTGTTGATACTGCAAAATTTTCCCAATGTTAGTCCAACCAAGTATATGAAAGTAATGGTTGCAGTGCAAATTTCATTTGTGTTAAGCTAAAATGATGGGAGTGTAGATAGGCTGATGTAAATTCTGGTTTAGTTTTGCTTCAGAGCTGACTTTGTCTTGGTCGTTTGTAAGAAGTAAAATGAAGTGATCTCCACCTTTTATACAAGAGAATGGTTGTAGGAGCCAGGAGGAGGGCTATTTGTTATTGAGAGTGAGGTAGGAAGCTAGATGATGTGATCTCCACTTTATATATATGATCAGGAATTGTGGTAGAACCGTAGAAAGAAGGTGGTGCAAATAAGAAAGCAAAACTGAACATAGGGGTGCAAATTTTGCATCGATCTGATTTGCATTGGCATTTCGAACAAACAAAGCCTAATGAACTTACCCTAAGTATGAAATCTTCAGAACTCCAAACTGGTTGGCAAATAAGAGAAGTTGTGTTGAAGGGAATACCCACGATTTTGAGATTAGAATTGCAAGAATCTGTCTGAGAATTTGTCAAGGAAGAGAAGCCAAGCAAGCAGAGGAAGTAGGATGTGGCAACAAAAGAGGTTTTTATCTCCATCTCTCTCTGTGTTTTGCTCTCCCTCTCTCTTTGGTTTTTGCACTTGGGATGATATGAAGTTGCAAGCAAATCCAAATGAGGAACTGTGTGAGATTAGTTTGCGTGGTGGTCAATATAAGAAGAGAAGGAATTGACTTGCATATGGCATATGTGACAAGTACAATTTTGCTTGGCCGTACAGATTACAAGTACAAACACTAGAACCCTTCACTGAATGTGTCCAGGAGAAATCTTAAGTAATTGCAAGGAAATGGAACCATTTCATTCTACTTTTGCCTTTTCATAGATTCTGAACCTATCTTCATATAATTTAATATCAGCCTGGTCAGAAAAATTGCACATGAGTTCATTTGGAAAGAAATGAAATAAAATGACCTCATCCCAATATTTTATTTGCAAATTAGAATTCACAAAAGATCCCTTTAGATTATGATTCTTGATTTAAATATGTGGGGAATTTTGACTTTTTGATCAACAGAATAATCAAAATATCACCATAACCACTTGCTTTCATCAGGCTGTCTTCTTAATTTTTTTTAGGGAAAATTTCTGATTAGTATCTGTACTTTCATCTTACTGTCACTTTGATCCTTAAACTTTAAAATGCGACAATTTAATACTTAAACTTTTAAAACGTGACAATCCAATACCTGTTGTTAAATAGTTGTTAACCAGCCATTAAGGGATATTTGAAAAAAAAACACAAATGCCCTTCAAGTGCTATTTAATTTTTTTTATCAACTATCTAAACGTTGACAAAAAATTAATAGTCCCAAATGTTTGCCTTTTCCATTCAAGAAAGTTGGGGCCATGTTTGAGTGGGCATTCTGGTGACCCCAATTTTCTTGAACAGAAAAGGCAAGGATTTGAGACTGTTAATTTTTTGTCTGTTTGGATGATTGATAAAGAATATTAGATGACACTCAAAGGACATTTGTTTTTTGCAAATGCCACTTAACGGTTGATTAACAACTAATTAACAGTAGGTACTGGATTGTCATATTTTAAAAATTCATATATTAAATTATTGTATTTTAAAATTCGAGGACCAAAATAGCACTAGACCCAAAGTACAAGATAATAATTGAGAATTTTCCCTTTTTTTAAACCCCTTTTTAGTCTACTTTACTATTAAGGTAGGGCCCAGTCAACGTTGGTCCCTCACCCTCTTACATTGGGCACCTACACATGGTTCCAAAGGATGAAAGGACTATTGCACAGTCATAGGATAGGCTAGCTCCAAATTTTATTCATTTATGTTTTGGATCCGAGTATAGATTGCAATTGGATATTGAATAGCATCAATAATTAAGTTTAAAATATATCAAAATATCATATTATTGAATCAACTTAGTAAAAACAAAATATTTAAATCAATTGTATTTATATTAAATCTGGCTTGACCCGTATATGGTTGGGTTAGGGTCAATATATTTGGCATTAGGGTTGTGTTAGGGTTTTGATTATTCAATCTGAATCGGATTTGAGTTTTGGCTGACCCGTCTTCTGGGTCATGATACCTTGCATATATACAATATATTCTTGTAACTTTTTGACTTCTAACTCTATAGTTTTAAAGTTTAAGATTTATTTACATGTTGGTTTTGATTTTCTTCTTTTTTTTTTAATAGGAAAAGTGACATCTTAAATTCTATAAAACAATTTCCTAACTTAAATTAATAGATTTTAGGTCTTTAAAACATGTTAAAAAATATAATTGAAATACTACGGGTCAGGTCAGATCGGTCTCGGGTTAGACCCTATAGGTTCAGGTTGGATTTAGAAATCATGTATTTTAAGGCGGGTCGGATCGGGTTCAGGTTGAGGCAAACCCGTGCCAAACCTGACCCGTTGACATTCCTACTTGGGCACGTAGGTCTATCAGGACAAGTATTTCCTAGGTAAAACTTACCCGAATAAGATAAGTTCCAGCATTCTTGTGTGAGACAAGTTACTTGAATAAAAGAAAAGATGGGAGGGAAGGAGCATTATTTTAGTACAGATAAATTATTTATCCATCCTCCAGGAGAGTATTAGTTATCCAGTAGATATCAATTACTCTTCAGAATGGTTGCTTATCATGACACCCAATATAGCGATTACCGGCCGATTGTCTTTCCGGGAGGATTTGGACGGTGAGGGAACTTCTACTATAAAATGATACAAATTACTTGAATAAAAGAAAAGATGGGAGAGAGGGAGGCTGTGCTATTTTAGCACAGATAAATTATTTACCCATCCTCTAAAAGAGTATTAGTTATCCGGATATCAATTATTCTTTGGAATGGTCGCTTACCACGACACCCAATATGGCGATTACCGGCCGGTTGTCTTTCTGGGGGGATATGGACGGTGAGGGAACTTCTATTATAAAATGATCGTCGTTCTGGAAACAATGTATAAATTACAAGGCACCTTGTCATGGCATTATTTTAAATATGGAACGCATGGAGAATTACAAAACTGTAACGCCACAGGTATGCGTCATGTGGGTTCACACTAAATACAATACAGAAAGGTCTTCTATTGGACGGTTGAGAAATGAGATGGAGGAATATCTCCTTCTGCAGCTGGTATAATCACTGGTTCTACAATAAGTCTTTCATAGCACATTAACACTGACCATGTGCCAGAGACAAGTTGGTCTCATCAAGGATTATTTTTTTTCTTTTTTAATTTTCATTGACAGATGGACATGGACCGGCGATGGTGGGCTTTTACGTGGTGTTAGGATTAGATTCTTGGCCCACGTGGTTTGGTCGGTTAGCTGGGTTTAATTATGAATACTGTTGCCTTTCAATAAGAATATACAGAAGTTCTCATTCCTGATACCGCCTTACACTTGGGGAAGGGATTTAAAAAACATAGAAAATTTTTGTTTGATGGGTGCGACTATGATATAGAAAACATATGATATCTCAAACAACTGACCAATACGGTAGAATCATAAACCTCTGGTAGCAAAATAAGGTGTAATTTATCAAAATTTATGGATGGATTTTGATTAGTCAAAAGCTCTTTTCATATCATATCTTTCCCGCATCATAGATTTACCCAGTATATTTTTGTGTTTTTTGAATTATTTCTGTTCAAAATGTTTAATTTTTTATCTATTTATTTCTAATTGATAAAAGAATGGGACCCACTTGATTAGCTAGATTTCCTAAAAGCAAAAACCATAAGAATGCTCTGAAAGCGTAAGGAATCTCTTCCATATATGTATATTAAATTCATATAAGATGTTTTGATGCAGGGCTGAAATCCATACTCTCAATGTATTTGCATGTAGGGGGTCGCCACGAGCCGAGCTTCTCATGAGTTATTCGAGCTCGGCTCATGAAAAGCTCTGTTTGGATCGGTTTAAACTGAGCTTCGAGCTGAGCTCGAGCCTGATATATAGGCTCATTTGCTAATCGAGCCAAGCTTGAACCCAATGAAACTCGGCTTGTGAGGCTCGCGAGCCTAGTATAAAAAATGAATATTTTTTTATTATATACATACATATATACATACATACATACACATATAAATATATATAATAAATATTTTTTATTTTATATAATAATATTTTATATATCATATTTTTATTTTTTATGTATAATAGTAAATAATTTTTATAATTCTTCTTTTTTGTTTGTAAAATAATTTCTTTATATGTATAATAATAAATAATTTCTATAATTCTTAATTTCTGTTTGTAAAATAAAAAATATTTTTATATGTATATTTTTTATTTTTTTTTAAAAATTGGCTTGCAGTCGAGCTCGAACTTGCAAGCTTTGAACCAAGCCGAGCTCAAGTTCAAGTTTCTAGCTCGACTCGAGCTCAAGCCTAGTACAGTTTCAGCGAGCTAGGCTTGAATAGCCAAGTATTTGGCTCGGTTCAGCTAGAATCCACCCCTATTTGCATGGTTTTTGCTTTTAGAAAATCTTGTTCCTTGAAAAAGAGGATGGTTGAAGGTTTATGGGTAAAACTCAGGTGGGGTTGGGATGGATTGGAGGTTGATGAAACAAGAAATGGAAATTTCACGGGAATTATATTTTAGGGGTGCTCAATTGGTCCCAACCCTAATAGGACCCAATTTATCAAAACCTATAGGATTTGGGTTTTGACCTTAGGGTAGCTGGTACGATAGAGAGAGAGAGAGAGAGAGAGAGAGAGAGAGAGAGAGAGAGAGAGATCACCCCAATCGAACATCGGAGTGCAAGGTTATGGCCTCCAAAAGTTTGCACATAATTAATTGTGCAACCCGTAACCCGATGACTGGGTCAAGGGGGTCAATGGTTGAAATGCCTGGGTTCGACGATTTTTGATTGAAAGGGAGAGCCTCAACAAAACTAGATCTAAAATCAAGGCTGAGTGGCGGTTCAAATGGTTCAATCAACCGGGTCAATGATGGGTTGAAAACACTGATGATAGATAAGAAATATTTTTAGTAAAGGTGGAATGGAGTATAAAATTTCAAACAAATTGGAAATAAAATTATTTTCCTTTACTATCTTATTAAATATCATATCTAAGTTATATTCTCTTATTAAATCTTATATTTAAGATATATATTTTTTTTACCAATCAACTGGTATAGAAAATGTGGTAGCCAATTAGATGTTATTTATCAAAATTCATGGGTGAATTTTGATTGGCCAAAACTCTTCTGGTACCATGCCTTTCCACCATTATAGATTTTTATATATTAATTATGTCAAACAAAATTAAGTGTGATAAGTAAAGGTTATTTATATAATGTAGATGGAGTATATTATTTAAAATTGATCTAGAAGAAAAGTTATTTTCTTATTTAAATGGTGGGTCAGTTATCCAACTGTTCTAAGAAACTCATGATGTCATAACTAAAAAATAAATATTTAAAAAGATAGAACACAAAAAATGAAAATTATAGAATTTTGTCAAAAACATTTAGGAACATTTCTAATGTTATATATTCATCATATAAATAAAAGTAATTATTAAATAAAATTGTTTTTATTTGTGATAGAAATGGAATACAAAACTTAATAATAATAATAATAATAATAATAATAATAATAATAATAATAATAATAATAATAATAATAATAATAATAATTGTTATT